AATAAACATGAAACGCGTCGGAAAATTAACTCTGCATTTACTTATTCATTTTAAAACTCAAGTACAATTTCTAAATTTTTTCTATAAAATTAAATACGACTTTGATCGATTGCTGAAAAGCAAGAGTTGAGACCAGCAGATTGATTTGTCTTTTCGTTAGTTAGAAGATAGATTGATCTGTTTCTATTTGATTTATCTCGATTAAAATTTATCAGGCGTCAAATTATTGTAATAATATTATTCTAATTTGATCCATTCTTATCTCAACTTATTCAACGATACATATGTCGTCAAGAAATTACAATAATACACCACCACCACCACCACCACCACCACGAAGATATATACGTCGTCTGGATGGTGGTGGTGTTTTAGGGGCCAATCAATACAATAATAATAATGGGGCCAATCAGTATAATAACGATCCATACTACAATCAGTACAATCGGGCCAATCGATATTATAATAATCAATTCAACAATGGAGCCAATCAATACTATAATAATAGGGCAAATCAGTATTATAATAGAGGCAATCCATATTACAATAGGAACAGTCCATATTATCGTCGAAATATATATTATAATCGTAATTATCGACCACAACAACGTTATGCCAATCCTTATGACGTTAATCGTCCACAAGGAAGATTTATTCTGTCAACTCGATCAAATCAAATTCGATCCAGAACTAATTCAAATCAACAACGTCGAAGTCGCTCGAATAGGCCAAATAGTCGTAATAATCGACAAAGAAGTCAATCAAGACAACAACTACAACAACAACGTCGACGTGGTCCACGACAGCTTCATTTAAATGATTTTATGCCAGCTGAACTACGTGAACCTTCACCAAATCTTCCAACAGAATTCAATATAGCAGCAACAACGGCAACAACAGTTCCACCAGATGCATTACCACAACGTGAAATATTTGCTAGAAGAAATACAACACAACCTTTTGTAGTTGATCAAAATGGACAAGATAATCAACAGCCACAGCCACCGCCACAGCCGAGCCGACAACGGCAACGACAACAAAATCAACGACGACAACGTCCAACAGTATCTTCTTATAGACGTCGACAAAATAGTCGTAATAATCGATTTGCTGAATTAGCTGATGAAAATGATAATAATAAAAATGATAATGATCCTATTGAAATAGAAGTCGATAATGAACCAATGCCATTTAATAGAAATATGAAAAATATGAAAAATAATAATAATAATAAAAAAGATAAAAATACAAAAAAGACACGACTCTATCTTGAACCAAATCGAATATTAACATGGCTTGAAAAACATTCACCAATGTCAAAAAAAGCTATAAGTGGCCGTGGTAATCAAGCATATGCATTAGCATCAGCTCCCATATATGATGAATGGGTTCGAAATAATTATGAAGTACAAGTCTGGCAATCATATTTAAAATTGGCAACTGAAAAGAAGCATTGGGCTAAAGAAGTCATTCAACGAACAAAAAGACGTGACAATGTAATCAATACTCGATTTATTCATAAGAAAATCAATCGATTAAATACGAATATTTCTGAAGCAAATGCTACAATATCAGATTTACAAACTGAATTATCCACATATTGGATGCACACAACATCTGAAGTAGCCACTCAAAGATTAGCTAGACAAATAACTGATCTAGTAGTTAGAAGATTATCTACTAATCAAACACGTCAAACAACAGTAGCAACAGATACAGAAGATGATGCACCTGCTCCAACAGCTCCAACAATAGCAACAGCAACAACTACTGCTATTAAAAATCATATTCGAGAACCAGTTGATCGTATCGAAAAATATATATTGGACTATATCCATTTTTGTACACAACATGTTAAAAAGATGGCTCAAACTCGTATTCAATTAGCAAAAGCACAAATGGATGAATTTAAAGCTTTAGAAGATTTCGAGCAAATAGCCACTCCAGCTCAATGGAATATTCATTTAATATTAAAACCAAAAATAAAATTATGGTCAACAAAAAACAAAAATTATAAAATATTAACAAAGCGTGTCGAATTAGAATTACTTCCAAAAATAATTGATAAAGTAGATTTTTCATTTCGAGTGGATGAGTCCATCATAAATCAAGATGAAGCTCAAGCAACATATGATCAAATGCGTCAAATTACGAAAGAATTCCGTACTCAAGCAATGAAATTATATGTTCAGTCAGCTGCTCGAGAAAATGAAATCTTATTAAATGAAATCCAAGGAATTATTGAAAAATTTCCTAAAAAAGAAAACGAAAACGACAAAGATAAAGATGATGATGGCACTAATGCTGAAGAAGGTTATGCAGCCTTCGAAGAATATCAAAAACTACGTGAACAAAGATTAAAATTAGAAATCGAACAATCACTTTATTTTTTAGCCGAACAGCGAGTCGAGGACAACAACAACAATCAAGAAGAAGAAGAAATAATTGCCCCGACTCTGGTACGTTCGCTGGACGAGGAATTCTTGCTCCAGCTATAATCAACCAAGCAAATATAAAATTAACAGAGCAAGAACATCAATTATTAAAATTAGGTCCGAAATTTATTTTTAATGATCCAAAAACAGCATCTCGACGACGGACAACTGAATTGGCAACTTTAAAACGAAAAATAGAAACTCGATTCTTCGAAAAGAAAGTAAACCCCGGACGTCCAGTCGAACAATTTATTGCTGAATTAGATGTCTTACTCCAAAATCTACATAATATTCCTAATACTAAGAAACGAATACAACTTAATATAACTCAAACAAATAATTCATTTGACACTTTGTCCTCAATTATCCAATCAAGTCAATCTCAAACTATTATTCGTCCAAAACTTAAACGAAATTATGGTCGAACCGTTAAGAGATTGAAATACAAGATCCATTTGGCTAATACCATTCTCAGAAAGACTGATAAGTCTAAAGTATTTCATTTAGGTAAAGTTGAACATTATCAGAAAAAATCAGAAGAATATATGGAAAAAACCAAAGCATATCAATGTCTTGGTATTATTGATCCACTTCCAGATTTAATTCAACGAACAAATAAATACTTATTAGATTTAAGACTGGCTAAATGGATTACTCAAAAACAATATGAGCAATTGAGCATCAAACCAAATGAAGCTGAACTAGCTCATTTATACTATCTACCAAAAGCTCATAAACCTGGTACTCCTCTTCGTCCAATTATATCTGGTTTAAAACATCCTACAATCAAAATATCAAAATATCTTGATAATCTACTGAGACCATTATTCGACCAGATGGCTTTAAATACTACTGTTACTTCTGGTTTTGAACTTATCAAAAAATTACAAGAATGGTCAACAGTTAATATGCGTCAAGATACAACATTTTGTACAATTGATGTCACAGACCTATATACTATGGTACCACAAATTGAAGGAGTATTATCATTAAGAAAAATGCTAAATAAACTCAAATTAAAACAAGTCGGTGGTCTAAAAATTGAAACAATAATTAGATTAAGTCGATTTGTTATGAAAAATAATTATTTCTCTTACAATGGTCAATTTTATCATCAAGTAAGAGGAGGAGCTATGGGTTCTCCTCTTACTCTAACTATTTCCAACTGCTACATGTACTTCTTTGAAAGACAGATAATTAATCAAATTAGAAATAGTGGTGGACTTTATTTTCGTTATATTGATGATATATTTATTTCTGTTAATTGGCCTATTCGACATCTACTTAAAGAAGTAGATAGATGGAATCAATTTGATCCAAATATTCAATTATCTGCTAATATAGGTTCTTCAATCAATTTTCTCGATTTGCATATCGAAAATCAAGATGGACAATTATATACTACAGTCTATCAAAAACCATCTTATGAACCATACTATTTGCCGTTCAATAGCGTTCACCCATTGCACATGAAGAAAAATATTATATTTACTATGTTACTTCGTGCAATTAGATATTGTTCTACATTTCAAACTTATTTAAATGATCGCGAGAAATTACGAATGGCTTTACTATTAAATAAATATCCAAATGCATTTATTGATGAACAATTTAATAATATGTTACTAAAGTTCGGCATTGATCAACCGTTGAATTTTACAAATTATAAAAGTTATCGTCAAAATATTATCGATTCTCCTATAAAAGGAAAAGTACCGATAAATTATGAAAAGACAATGTTCATACATTTTACATATTGTTCAAGTATGAAGACATTCCCATTCAAATTCCATATCCTCTGGAATAAGTACTTTGAAGAATCTCCCATTAATGAACTTCTACCTGTTCTTGGTACGCGTAACGTTCAAAATTTACAAAGACGATTAACACATACAAGATCAGGAAAATATTGATACTAATTAGTCAAAACTATATACTAAAGACTTCTTTGAAGTAATTATTAAAAACAATATCTAATCAAAAAACTGGTCTATATTTTCACTTTAATATTAATTCTAATAACCAATTCAAAATTAAGACAATACTTATCAAAACCCTTTAAAATATATATTTATATTTGATCAGAATTATATTCATCTATCAGAACCTCGAAGTTATCACAAGTTAGAAGCTGTTTCAAATTATAAATTCATGCTTCCGAATTATTGAAGTCACGATTCAATCAAAATTATATAATAATAAATAAAATTAATTTTGAATTCACTTTGGAATCAACTGTTTATACCGAAAATCTTCTGCATATAAAAATAAACAAACATTTATACAACACCAAGTCAATTCAAAAACATAATCCAATGAGCATCCATAACAAAGCACCTTATCGAATATTTAAAAAAAAGTGCATCATTTTCAGTGTTCTAAATTCTAAGTTACGATCTGTAAATTCTAGCTAATTCTTCTTTCTTTAACCACGCTTCAATCTAAATTTATATATTACCTTAAAGTTCACTTTTTTTCATTTAACCATTTTTATCATTTTATTCATATTCTATTTCTATTTTTATTTGCACTAACCTTGTAATGCAGAGCCCTGATGAGTGTTTCAAATTTTTAAATAAAATAAACATGAAACGCGTCGGAAAATTAACTCTGCATTTACTTATTCATTTTAAAACTCAAGTACAATTTCTAAATTTTTTCTATAAAATTAAATACGACTTTGATCGATTGCTGAAAAGCGAAAGTTGAGACCAGCAGATTGATTTGTCTTTTCGTTAGTTAGAAGATAGATTGATCTGTTTCTATTTGATACATTGGTTAAACAAAAAACCTAGTTTTCGAATGAATGTTCTGATATAATTTTATTTGAAAACGTTAAAAAAAGTCATTAAGGAATCATAAAATTCATAGAATGACTTCAAGTAATCATGAAATGAATTTCGAAGAACGATCAATTTATTTAAATTTTCAGTTTTGACTGAAATCACTTGTTTTGTTGTTCTTTTTCTACAGCTTTCGATTGTACATTGGTTTTGATAGTTTTCGATTTATACACTAGCAAATTAAAGACAAATCTAATACAACACTTTATAATGCGACAATATGATATACAACTGTTCCGATCTCAAAACTTTCAATAATATCCGTTTAGCAATCTAATTTCCAACAAGAGAGTATAGATTATCTAGAATTTATAATCTAATTTCTTCAGAAAATCGCTATCAAAATCGAATTGAATAGAATCGAAGCGAATCATGGCTGCATATCTAGGATATCTATAATAATATATGCTTTGTTTGATTTCTTTTTGAATAAAATTGAGATCATTTGAACAAATACAGCAGAGTCTAAATCACCCAATGGTGGCAACCTAAGCAATAGTCGAAACCGGTCATGGCAGCTTATTCCCACTACTATTTTGTGAAGAGATTCTTCTATTACATTATTTTAAAAAATTCTTGTAAATTCTTGAGGATACAATAATTTGTTTTGGATTTTCTTTTCGAGAATAATCCATTATAATTAAGCCATCTGATGAGATCCTAAAGCAAGATCGAAACCGGTCATGGCAGCTTCTTCACACCCAGAAAGAACTTAACAGAGAAACGGAGAAAGCTAGTTTAATTAATCCATTTTTTTATTTCTCTTTTTTCGATAGTTACCGAAGATTTTGCACCCGCAATAGAATAAAATTTTTTTTCTTTTTTTCAGTTGGTTATTTCGAGAGTTGCTCGTCATTTTTCTGAGAAAGAACTTAACAGAGAAACGGAGAAAGCTAGTTTAGTTTACTCATTTTTTTTATTTCTCTTTTTTCGATAGTTACCGGAGATTTTACAAGCGCAATAGAATAAAAGATGTTTTTCCTTACTTTTTGAAGTTGATTATTCTGCATATTACTCATGAATTTTCCAGGAAAAACAGCAGAAAAAGTTGAGAAACTTGTTTAGTTTACTTCCTTCTTAATCTGATTGGTTCAATGTTTGCTGGAGACTTTACGGACGCAATATAAAAAATAAACTACTTTCCTTCTCTTTTTTTTTAGTTTGTTATTCTCAATATCGCTTGTCATTTCTCCGAGAAAAATTTGCAAGGTTAGTTGTGTTTAATTTTTGTCTTTCATCATTGAGTTATTCTGAAAATTGACGGGCATTTTATAGAAGACCAAACGAATAACTTAGTCGTGTGTTCTTTTTTCTAAGAATTAAGTCCGTACTTTGTCCATTTACTTTGAGAAAAATATTAAAATGTAGTTTAATTTCTGCTTCTCTGCTTATTTACTCTACAAATGTTCCACATCTTGTATTAGACATTTAATCAGAGAATCATCTTTACTTTTTTCCTCCATTTAATTATCGTAAATTGTCGAATACCAGATGGGAATGAACCGAGTCAATTAATTTTCTTTTGTTCTATTAAATTGAACGATAATCTTCCTGGGCTTTAGGATGGACACACCCTAATCTTTTTGTTTTGCGTGTAAGTGAGTGTAATATTCACCACCACATCCAGACCTTGTTATGTTGGGGAACAATGATTACTAACCATATTGTGCAGTTTTTCGCTCGATGTATGCACTTTCTCTGACAGTTCTCCGCATGGAATACACGAATCAATGACACTGCATGAGTGCATGCTAAAAAGAATTTCCAAAATAATTAGCCCTTAAGCAGTGTATTATTCTACACTCGTTTTCACTGTGCAGGAAGATGCAGTCGAGGGTTATGCGAGGTGCAGCATCGAGCGTTATTTGTATTATATCTTATTTTATTTTCGACTTTTAATCGATTGCTCAAAAGCAAGAGTTGAGACTAGCAACATTGATTTGTATCTGAGAGATATAGATTGGTCTGCTTTCCAAAAAATGTGTTGTTTTGTTTTTCTATTAATATTTTCCCAATCGGTCGTCGTCACTTTTTTTGTTCTTGCTCGTAAAGAAGAATAAAAATGTTCACGAAGCGGCTGCGACTCATTTTTCTTCTTTCAGACTTCTCTTACAGAGACACTGTCAAGAAAAGAACAGGAAAAAAAAAGGAAAGTTAACGTTCATCAAGTTTTTCTCTATATATTTGCTCAGCGTCATTCGATGTGGCGACATGTTGTTTCATCGGCGTCTGAAATCTTTATTTTTTTTTTGCTTTCAGTTGCGTAGTAGAAAACACACTCTATTATTTATTACGGAGCACGGTACACAGTAATTTATTACTAGTAGATGTCGAAACTTTTCTCATCAATAATACATCCTATGTATTAGAGTGAGACGTCTATAGCACATATCACATCGTATATCCAGATTTTATAGTGAAGTATTGAGGTCGCATTTACCTATCTTAGAATGAGGAGTGTCAGTAGCAACATTCATCAGTTACCGAGCACAAATCGCTACTAAAGTAAAAAAATCGAAATTTACGACCATTAAGATTCGGGTTCTTCAGCGTACTGTTCCCAAGAAACGCGAACGCATCTGAAAATTCGGTTTTTGTGTGTTTCAGAACACGTCTGTGTTGGTTAAGCTTTTACTTTTATTTTATGAGAAGTCACTAATGTCCTAGGAACTCAAAACGGACATCCCTGCTTAAAATACACTCCTTATCAAGAAGATGCTGCAAGAATTATTGAGGATTATGAGAAAAGTCGATCGTTCTTTTTCCTTCTGAATGAGTGCCGAGAAAATAGTTAAAATATATCATATCGATCATGAACATTACGATAATCGACCCATATATCTTAAAATGATACCTTTTAAAAAATTTTTTTGACTTGAACTAGAATTAGAATGTATGTGGCTCATATATATATATGCTTTTAGTAACCGTCTTTCGTACAAAAAGAGCCCGAGCATCTGTTGTGATCGATCAAACTTTTGAAGTTTGTTTTTTATTCCCACTACAAAAAATGACTAATTACTATGAAGATGTCCCTTCGAGAAACATGATATCTTGTGTATGAAAAAAAATTTATTTTGTGAAGAAGAAAGAGAGAAAGAGCTTGTAAATCTTCTTCAAACATACGTCTATCTTTTCGGTTTTCATAAGTTTCAGTAGGTCGATACATGGACACAGCTCCAAAGCGTGATTTGGTTTCGACTCAAGACACAGGAACACAGTCCGCCTCCTGGAATAGTGACACAAACCGAAACGAACCAGCAAGTAACACTCAAACCATGATGCAACATCCATCATCGAGTAATATCATTCTTGTTGATTCTGACGACGATATGCCACCAAGTATGCGGGCACTTGATTTAGCAAATGATCGATCAGCGCCAAATTCGAATGCCATTGTTCGAAGAATTCAAAGAGTACAAATCACGAACGGAAATCATGAGCATTCAACTGGAATTAACAAGTTGCGGGAAGAAAATGAAAGGCTAAAGAAACAAATTGCAGATCTGAACGAACAAATCGCAAACCTGACACAGACGAGTGACAATGCCAGAAGTGAGGTATTTACCCACATTTCATCGTAATAAAACATTTCATGTTATTCAGCACAAAGAGAATGAAAAAAAATTCTTTCATAAGTATTGAATATTTTTTACACTTTGAGATGTAATCTTTTAGAAGAGTATACTAGTACATTGGTATCTAAAGAAAAATTCTGTAGAGCTCATATTCGACAAGCAATGTCTTCGCATTCTATCGAGCTTCTGTATATGCCTAAAAATCGTTTAGATTTCCAGTGAAAAGTTTTGCTGATATTTTACCAATTTTCGATTTTAACATGGGACTTGTTATATCCAACAGGGTTTCATTTTACAGTTTACAGTCAGTTAATCTTAGTTAGGCATGTAGTGAAACCAAAACTAATTTTAATATTCAGATACTTTGAAAAAGACTGATTATGAGAAACAACAGTACCATTCATAGTTCTTTAAAAGTTACGTCGGGTACTGCTGTTAAGTCCATATATTCTATCTTGGAATACCTTTCATAGGCACTTATGGTCTATTTACGGGGACTAATCATAGATCTATTATGTCCTATCTGCTGCTACCCATTTGATAGAGATCGAAGACTTATGAATGATACCTTTGAGTAGGCGATAAAGACCTGTGAAGAGTACTTCCAAATAGGATATCAGAACTTATGAAAGGTATCTCTAAATAAGCCATAAGGGCCTGTGAAGGACACTTCGAATAGCACAGAATGACCTATGCATGGTACCTGTAAATATGTTTTAAGTATCTATGAAAGTTAACCCGAAATAAGTCATATGGACTTACAGGGCGCCACCAAATGGCCCCCATGAGCTTATGAATGGTACCTTTGTTTCTCAAAGACAGTCAGTCTTTTTCTGAGTATCTCAAAACCAAGACTTCGAAGCGAAGAATTTTCGTTTTAATGCATGCCTAATCTTAATTTCAAAATACTCTTCTTGGAGTAGTACTAACTTTTTATCTATTGGATAATCTGATATGGAGAAACACGGATATCATAATAGGAAATTTCCCAGCTCACTTTCAGCAAATGGTAAAAGTCATATCATACATTGGAATTTCATCCTTGTCTAACTGGTTAAAAAATAAAATTTTATTGTATAATATAACTTTTAGCACTTGCCGAAAGTGAACTGAGAAATTTGGTACTACGAATTCATTCTACTGTTAAATCTTTCCACATTCAGTCTAAATACTCTCCAATTCTAACTCGAAATCAGTATGCTATTGATGTTCTTGACGCTTTCTCATTCTTTTCTTCGACAATGTGGACGCATAGGAAAATTGAATAGCCAACATTTCTTTTTGGCAACATTAGTGAAATGTAGAAAGCATTGAAGTGACGAGAGTTCGGTATACCTATAGCTATACTCTTCTGGATCTAACTTTGCCTCCTTCCAGTAAATGTATGATTAACCCACATTACATACGTTCATATATATGTATGTATATGAAAATGACCGAACGCGAACCCATTGAATTGAACTTTCTATCTAGCGAACTCGTCGTATGGTAATTGTGAACGAAACTAGATATGACGTTCACTTGTACAGAATATCTTGTTCAATCAGATGACAATAAGGAACGTTTTCATTCACAAAAATATATTAACTGGTATTTTATTCAGAATGTTTTTACTTTCGTAACCAGATAGTTTGTTTTATGTTTATTTCTTATGATATTTCTGATATTTTGACATTTTAGATCAATCGACTAAAACACAAAATCGAGAAAGATCGATTTGATACAGAGGCGCGCATCGACCAGTTACAGTGCAAACATCAGACAGATTTTAAGGAAACTCGACGTCGTACAGAACAATTAGAAGATGAGAACCAAACATTGAACAATGAACTGAGCCAGTTACGTCGAGAAAATGAAAAACTGAAACTTCAGGTCGAACAGCTAAAGAAGGACAAGATAACATTAGAAAGTGAAGTTGGAAAGTTGAAGGCTCAATTGGACATTCTGCAACAAAGTGGCAATGAAATGAAAAAAGAATTGGACGAAACAAAACGTGATCTTGACACCATGAAAAGACAAATGGCAGAGGATAGAGAAAAAAACAAGACTGAAGAAAGAAGCAATATATCTAAATTACTTCTGGGAGAAGTAGCATTTAAGTTTGATCGGGTAGTCATTGGTAATATCTTCCGAGATCGCTTTAAAGCATCGAATTCTAATTGCAAGGAATGGACGCGTCGAGCTCGATCACTAACAGTAGCTCAAGTTCTTCATGGGCATATTAAACCGATGACTACCGAAGAAAACGACCGTCTGCAAGAGTTTGTTGAATATTTAAAGCAACGTGGTTGGCATGATGCCTTCCACTTTGTGGGTGTACTGAACGAACTAAAAAATGGTAGACTATATTTGGCTCATTTATCATCAAACGATAAAAACGATCAAGATCGCGCAAAGCTCAAGCAGGCAGCCGAATTTGCCGACAATAAAGATCAAATTTTAGAGTATCAGCATGTTATTGACGCTTTATGTCATTACACTCACACTGAATATCCTCTTCACGATGAATTATAAATAAAAGATCACTCATATTTTTATTTTATATTACTATTGCATTAATAAATCTGTTTCCGATGTGTAAATGAAGTAGATCGAATTGCGTCACATAGATAGTCAAAAGGTGGCCAAAGTGTAGCCATTGCAATAAGTGAATCTTATCAATTGTTAAGAGTTTGATGCGTACCCAGTTAAATCGTGCAAGGAATTTATATGGATTTGTCATATGTATAGCGTGAGTGCGGCTCATACGAATATGCACCAAAGGAAAAAGCAGGTCCCTTTACACTCTAGTAGTTCTTTGAACATCCAATAGACTCTACCAATTGAGGGTGAATTGAGGATGAGTATAAAAACCAATGATTCGTATCAAGACAAGAACGAAATGTCGTATGAATTGCTTTAACACACCACTGTTTTAACTTGATCTACGATTGTAGATGGGATTTCCATGCTAATTCTATTACTTTTTGTAGATTATACATCTTATTTATGATTTTCGAATCATCCGAATAGATCTCTTATCTAAAACTATCCGATGAGGCCCTTAAGCAAGGTCGAAACCGGTCATATTTTGGCTTTGACACACCCTCACCACACCGAAATTATACTTATTATTAGCTAGAAATTTTTTCATTTTAAACTTTTGACTATAATCTTCATAGTAGGAGACATGTGACTATAACATCCTTCAAATCATTAGCAATTGATAAGAATACTCTAAGCACTTATCGAAATGCATCTTGCTACCTTTTGATTTAAAATCCTTAACTAAAATCGCACCCACACCCACAAACCCTCTTCAACTTTTTGTATGAGTTATGACTTGTATGTAATTCTCATGAGATTCTTAACATACCTGAGGAGAACCCTTAAGCAAGGTCGAAATCCGGATCGTGTGATGCTCTGAATTTCAATCCTTTATTATAACATCCTTATATAGATATAATATTGAGAATCCACCTGAAGAAATCCTGCCAAAACAGAAACACAAGCTTACTGTCGTGGAATGACTATTATCTTTACACACACCCAAAATATTCCATGAATCTTTTCTTAAGAGATAAACTATAGATGTCTTTCTTAGTAGAATTTTCAATTCTTGATTTCGTAAAATTGTTCTAACAGGAGAAAATAATACATGTGGTCTATCAACCATTAAATCTATCTTATGGACTCTTTCTCATTATCTTGTTGAATGCTTTCATGGTTGTATACATGTGACATCTACCTGTATCATGACAATTAAAGCCAAGTTAATCTACATTTATTTGGCGAAAAATAATCGTTAATACTCTCAAGTACCATTATCCTACAAAACAAAAACATAATTTCTATTCAACTTTTATTGCTTTATTTTGTTTTTATTTTATCTATAGTTATTATTTACATCTTTAAATGTCTGATAAAAATATACTTCAATATCTTCATGTGAAACACTCGATATACATATGATTACTGTTCAAGATGTTCTACGTAAAAAGTAACATCAGAAAATAAAGGTAATTCTATTGCCCAGTATATGTTTGTTGAAAATAAAACTGAATGAATTAGAAAAAAAATCAGACACATTAAAATACATACATCATTCGATAAAAAATGGAATTCATTTCATAATTCAGTAGCCTATTTTATCTAAAAATTGTTTCTGATGTTATAATTTCAAAGAATATGATTCAATAATAATTCACGTCATCAACAAGTTTCTTTATTTTAATTCATTATACTGATAAGAGATTGCTAAGTTTTAATATTCTTTATATTGTATATTATTTATTTTGCTTTTTTTTCTGTGTTAGTAACAGTAAAATTAATCTTCATTGTCATCCATTCGATTGTGATATTGTTTCAACATTAATATTCAGTTGTAGAAAATTGGTTAAAACTATGAATCATCAAGAAGGTAATCCCTTTTTTTATTAATCTTTGAATGTTCAAATACAAATAGCTAGAAATATTTAAAATTATTACAACGAACTCACAAGCTGAAACAATATCTGTTTTAAATGGATCGTAAATATACAATATCCAGCAAAATTACGACCAGCATTAGAAGTCTTAAATGAATATAAACTCTATGTGTAATTGAATGTCATGTAAATATTTCGAATTAAATTATGTGTATTCAATTTTATTTTCATCAGATCTGTTTGATACTCACTACATTGCAAATGTGAAATAAACTAAACTAAATGATCGAATAAAATAAAATTGAATCTATTATTCCTATCATTTAGAATATCTTTTAGCATAGTCTATAATATATTTTCTAGTTTAAAGTGTATCTACAACAATAATTGAAGAATATTAGGTATCATAATTTTAACATGAATATTATCGACTGACGATTTCTGATATATATTAAGAGGTAATAATAATTCAGATTTTTATATGCATAATTTGATATTAAAAAATATTTCTTTTGTGGAAGAGTGTGTGCTTCAGAATCATTTGGAAAAAGAAATTTATTTCATTGGCTAATAATAGAGAGTGACAGAGAGACAGTAACATCTTCAGAAGAAAAAAAATGGCATGATACTATAAATTCTTCTCCGATTCAGTTGAATATTAACATTACTAAAAAATGAATGCATCATCAATCGTTGCTCTCGATATAATTCCTGATCCTGAAAACAATCAGGTATTTATTTTTCAACAACAATCGGCTGAAAATGATATCAGTGATGTAGCTGATGTACAAGTGGTCGATATCGATGAAGATGAATTAGAGATCGAATTAGGTCTTGATTTCAATGATTATTATGATGCCGATGATGATGAAGAAGAAGAAGACTATGAAGAAGACTATGAAGATGAAGATGAAATCGTTCAACAACTCCAAACACTTGATATAAATCAATGCCCTGCTGCTTAAAGTGACATTATTTCTTCTGTTTTTTTTGTTTATCCTTGTTTTTTTCTGTTGAATTATAAATAAAATCTCGATAAACATATATTTCTTTTTTTTTCTTTGATTTTACTAGAATGGAATTTCGGTAGATTTAATGGAAGTGTATTTTTAATCTGAAAAATTTGAGCTTAAATTATCCGTAAAATCATCGCTAAATCAATGCAGCACGCGATCATCGATTAGAGTCAATTTCTAAAGTTGATCATAATTGTTGTCAACAGGCAACATTGATTTAGTGATGATTTCTTCGATAATAATCGTATGATTATAATCTGATTGTTTCCTTTTTGTTTTACATGGGTTGGAGTTACTGTTAAATTGAAAATTCATCTGTAATTTCTGGAATACTAAAAAGAAATATGATTGGAATCAGCAAGACATTCTTTTTCTTTTTTTATTTGGAAAGTTATTCAATCTTTGTATCGATACATAAACTCAAAAAAAAAATTGTAGAACAATTTATTGAATAAACCAAACGAAAAAGAAACTATTCTTGTCCCTATTGACGAACGGTGACGTAGAATTGACCAAGTTGATCATGATTTCGATTGTGACGTACTTCTGATACAGCTGCATGAACAATGAAATCACCTTTATCAGGGCCTTGTCCAACTAAAAAAAAAAAAAAAGGCGAATAAAACAAGTCTAAATCTATCTACAATACACATACGCAAAGCACAAACAGTTGACACGACGAAAAGTGAACGACGACCTAAATAACCAACAAGATGTAGTGGATATTCACTAACACGACTATATGAATAATAGATTGGCATTGGTGATACACAATTGAAGACCATATGCTTGACTTAAAAAGAGAAAAACAAAGCTATTTATTATTTTTATATGATTATACGAACTATCGTTTTTCTCGGCATGTTTTTGTGCTTTTTCCTAAATAAACGAGAATCAAAAAAAATTATTTTAAAACGAAAAAAATTCAATTCTATTTACCTCATCGTAGTAAATCGAAAATTGACCTTCGAATGGTTCATCATCATCACTTGTAGCCATCTTTTTCGTTTTTTAAATGACGTCAGATGGTAATTGTTTCAATTCATTCTCACACATTCTCTTTCTTTCTCTCTCTCTCTCTCTTTCCTATTTTCTAATTTGATGACACCTCTCTATCTTGTCACTTCCATCATTGTCACATACAAGCACGCCATCCAAATTCTTTGTTATGAATAAAAACAAAACAACACTGTAAGGTAATCCACTATTTGATAAATAGATAAACATGATTGCCATTGTAGATGTTAATCGCTTCAATTATCATCAGAATTCAGTTTAGTAAATCCCATTT